TTTCTCCTTTGTTTTCTTCATGTGACAGAATTTTACTGATAAAAAAGAAACAGGAGAACCTTTATCAGACTGTTGCACACCTTCCTCATTATCAGACTTCTCCTTTGCCAGCAGCGGCCAGTATTTTGAATAAACATTAACCAGGAGCTGTTGCTTGTACTTTGCTGTGCCCTCACACAGCATTGTGTTGCCTTTAAAGCAAAAAGGGAACCGTTGATGCTGGACTGCTCTTTGCACACTGACTTTAAACTGTAATGTTTGTGCGGAACTCAAATACCTCCAGGGCTGTGAGTGGATCAGGAAAGCAGCTGAAACTGTGTGTTCTCTCACACCACGCTATACTCACTCTCTGTCAGGAGTCACTGAGCCGTGAGGAGGGGATCATTTAGCTGGACATGGCTGTGCATAGGTGAGTTATTGAGCAGGAATGTGTTGAGTGACAATGGTTTTCAACATCAGCAGTTGTCTATGGAGCATGCTGGTGAAAAACATTTGAGCTTTTAAAGTGTTTTTATGACTTTAGAGGTATTTCAGTAGATTATGTGGCTCTGTAGACTCTTTAAAGCATGATTAATGGCCACGTATTGTTTCACATTATTATCAGATGGCTTTCATATCGAGATTCTTCGTCCATTTGAGCTTTTATCTGGTTTTATTTCCCCTTGTGCAGTGCATCAGATCTGCAGAACCCCACAGAGTTACCAGAGGACTGGGTGGAGTGGTTCCTGCATCGGGTGCATCAGGAGCCATGGGCGCTGGGTGGTGTCGTGGTCATAGGATTGTTTGTGCTGGGAACTCTGTCTTTGGTGGTCTTCGCTCTGGTGTACGGATGCTGCTGCGGCTCAGCAGGAGGCCAACGAAGGAAGAGGAAGTCAAAGAAGCATGGAGTGATTTAGACGTTTGAGAGGAGCTGTCTCACTGTAGCCTTTACAGTAAAATGAATGTTGACAAGATGGAGAATTTGTTTGAATTTAACTGTCCACCTGTGGATTATTTTTGACATATAATGGAAACTTGATCGGATGTTTCACTGCTATTTAATTACACATTATAAGTTATATTGCCCACATACATTTTGTAAGATATCAATTTCCCCAACATGAATTTAAACTAAATAAAACTATTTTGCTATGCCTTTACATTTTGCACTGTGTTACTTGTCTGTGTGGTCAGGTTAGTACTGACAACCAAGTGATGATAAGAAAAACATTTTGCTCTACAACAATACTCACCAGTTCCTTTTAAAATGCATCTATATTTTTCAACAGGAGTTAAATATCAAAGTATAAAGTACTGGAACTTTCAACATTAATCAACATAAACTTCTGCACTTGAATGATATATTCAATTCTAACCTTCAGTGGTGGAGGAAGAACTCAAACTTTTTACTTCAATAACATTACAAATAAATTGTAAAAGTGCCACATTAACTTTCCCACTTGAATAAAAGTCTGTACTTGCTTCGTGAATATTTTATTTTCACTTTTACTCCACCACATATATTAACAAATATGTCTACTTTCTACTCCTCTACATTTTTACAATGCATCTGGTTAAAGTACATCTTCTTGAGTAAAGTGCAAAAACATATATTATGTACTTAAAAGTACATTAATTAAGTAAATGTACTTCGTTACATCCCACCACTGCTAACCCCAACTTAACATGTCATGCTCCAAGTATTCCATGACATAAACATGATCAAACATGAAGCACATATGTTAAACTGGCATAGTTATATACAGAACACAGAAACAGAAGGTTAATGAAGTACACTGACTTTAATAACTAACAATAGAAAACAATCATAGATGGAAAACGGAAACAACCAGTTTTATTAATGGTTTTATTCTTGAATAAATAAAATAAAAACAACATGCAGAGTGAAACCGCACCGCCCCTCCCTGTGTGCTGACCTCACTGAACAAACACACCCAACGGCCGCTGGTGACGTCATTGCGCTTGCGCAGTCCGAACTCGTGACGTTATTATTCCGCGACCAGACGTTTATGCGACTCCCACAGCGATGGCCAGCGGTAAAAAGAGTGCTCTACTCTCCTCTTTGGCGGACTATGGAGACGACTCAGAGCCCGACTCGGACCCAGAACCGGAAGAGACAGGTGCATTTTAATAGTTTCAATCATTTTAAGAATAGTTTATGAAAACGCTGCTCAGAGTTTTATGAATCTCTCCCCGGAGCTTCACGCTAGCTAGCAGCACGCTAGCTAGCCGCTAGCAAAACATCGCTAGTTTCCATTTAGTATTTGATTTTAGAATAAGTTCAATGATCAGGCTTATAGAGTTAATTCATCAGAGGCCAGTTTGTCCTCAGTTTGTCTTCAGTTTGTCTTCAGTTTGTCCTCAGTCTCTCGTCAGTAATATTAGCTGGCCCCTAATGGCTGTAAAACGTAACGGTGTCGTGTTCCAGTTGAACTAGTGTCTGATGAACTTCTCTGTCTGTTTTCGTTGCAGCCTCTTTTCCAGCATTTCCCTTCAAACTGTTGCAGACAAAACTACATGGTCCAAAATAATCTCAAACTAAAAATGTTCATATCAGTCGATATCAATAAATATTGCGATACATTATATATGGTTGTTACTTTATAATTGCTCCATGTGGTTTACTGATTTAAGACTTTGATCTCATCTTTTCATTTTAGTGCCAGCTGTTTTCCTCTTACAGTGTTTTCTCTGTGTTCTGTCCCTGCACCTCATTGTTTCTTCCTGTCCACCACCAGAGGGGCGTGGAGTGGGTCTGGTGTACAGCTACGGTGATGATGATCTGAACCGGACTGAGGATATCGAAGACAAGGTGTCTAGAGATGAAGACAGCAGAGAGAGCAACTCGGTCAGTATTTAAGTTGTGAATTCTCCTCACTGAGTTTTATCATTACTGACCAATCAGCTTGGTCAGGTGTCAGAAAATATAATGGGATACTTTGACATGTTGATGATGCACAGAATCCTTACGGTCCTCTGGGGGCACTCATAGGTATCGCATTGGGTAGTAGCTGCATCAAATTTTAAATTGCATAAAAAACCAAATCACTTATGTTTGCTTAGATGTAGGATGACTGGCATCTAGTTCCTTCTATTCCATTGACATTTAACTAAATTAAAGAAATATATATTTCTACTGTTGCAGAGTCTTTTAAAAATTCACCTGTTGGGATTTTCTTGTCATAATAATCTGTTGGATAAAATGGTAATAATATTTGTATCATATTGTGATTTATTATTACAGTTATTAATCTATTATTCTTTGATTTAATCAAATCATTTAAAATGTATATGTCACTTGTGAATGAAGCCTTTGCTGTTCAAAAAACCCAAAGCAATATGAGGTGATAATAGTAATTTGCCGTCTTGAATCTAGATAGGAGTTAGATGCAACAACAACAATACAGGCATGCATGGAGTGTGTGACAAAACATACTCTTGCACAATATACGGACATCTGAAAGGCACATACTTATGTGTATATAGTGGTCTATATAGTGATTATTGAGTGATTACAGACACAGCCCAATAAACTCTTTTACTATCAAGAAGCATTGTAAACAGTACAGCTGGATTATACAGATAAGAGCCACAGTCGAGTGCTCAAAACAAATGTCAGACTTAGGTGTTGCCTGTTGTACATCACATTCCAGAGAGTCACAAAGATGAAAGGAGGTAACGGCTGCTATTCAAATACACTTCCAATTTACACGGTGGAGAAACATACTTTTCTTTAGTCTCTGCTGATTGGTTTATGAATGATTTATTCATTGAATTTACAGAAAATGTGCCGGTATCACATGTATAGCTACGTTGGGACATTTTGGTCACATCACGCTGCACTTACCGTTTGACTCATTACACGTCATCACCATTATAAAATGTGTCTTGGTTGGTGCTTTAGATGCAGAGACTTAAGAGCTTCATTTAACATGAAGATCATTTTATCATAGTTCTTAAATGTTTAGCCCGACAATGAAGTGACACCACAGCAGATATTAAAGGTTCTTTGTCGCAGCTTCTCAAATAAGGTGTGTGTGTGTGTGGGTGTCAGTGAACCACCAAAACTCTTTACACAGCATTGGGACTTAGTATCATTCTCAATTTAATTGACTATAATGCTTCTTTAATTCTGTTAAATGTTTCTATGTGTAAGTATTATACAAATACAATATATGCAGTTTATAACGTGTCCAGAAAAAGAAACACCTACAGTATATGAATGACACATTACAGTGGTCCATCTTGTCTACATACAGATGCAGCATTAGCCTGTAGCCTCAGATATTATAATAAGAGTTCCATCAATATATGTTTGACACAGTGCCAACAGAAAATAAGCAGAATACATTTCACCTAGGAAGTTACATTTCTGTTTTATTGGTGTATGTTACAGTGACGTTTTCTTTTTCTGGTCACAGAAGAGACGGTACATAAATTTAGAGCCTGAATGATTTATTGGTTAGCAGATAAAATCTTCTGATGTAAGCCTTTCACAGACGTTAAGAAAGTTTTACAGACTGTTTACCTTGTAACATAAAAAGTGTTTTCTTAATTGAAGTTCTATATATTTGTATTTGTTGGTTTTTTATTATTGAAATTACCATGTTATAATATCAAGCCGTACTCACATTTCTTTGCAATAAAGGTTGGATAACAACATCTTAAGAATTATTCCCAACTTTTAAAATTATTTATTGGCTGATATGATTTACTCCCTAATTACTTATTAATTTACCTCCAAATATCCACATTTGTCGTCCTCTGATTTTTATCATGATGAACAAAGAGAGCAGTGTGTAAACAGAGTTGCTGAACTCTCTGGCAGTCCATTGTTGTGTGCTGCTTGTCATCTGCTTTGTGCTGCTGCTTGGTGCCTTCCTCCTGGTCCTCTGTCCTCTTGGTCCTCTCAGTCTTGACCCTGTGCATTTTTGTTTTTATAGGAAATGGAAGAATCTGACGAGGGAAGGGACCCAGATGATGTGGAGGTATTTAAACACCCACCTGGTGACGTGGGATGGATTGGATTTGGAAATGGATCAAGTCTCATTGATTTCTTATTTGTTTTGTAACTAACCAAGCTAGCGGCTGGCCGGCCCTGTTAAATCTTTCACAACACGCAGTTAAGGCGCATGTTCACTAGATGGTGCTGCGGTGTCATGAATGCCTGTTTGAATAACAAATGAAGATTCATGTAGATGAGACCAGGTCAGTGAAATCTTCATGTGCCTTAAAGCTCTTCTGAAGTGAAGAGCTGGACCAACAGTGTTGTTTGTCAGAGCACACTGCTTGGACCTGCACGGTTGCACCTTACTAACCCCACCGTGTGGATGTGTGTGTGTGTGTGTGTGTGTGGGGGTGGGTGTGGCGAGAGTGAGTCACAAAACGAACAAGCAGAAACAAATACAAGTTAGAGAACGCCTGCTCTGTCTGCGGCTTTGTTTTTCAGCTGGTCTTTGATTGATCTTAATCTGATAAACTCACTTTCTGGGAGAGTTTTCTTCCGTTCTGTACGGTTAATGACGCGGACATTACAGTTCCGACAATATAAGGATCTGCTGATTTGGTAATTGTAACCTTTTGCGTCTGATGTGAGATTTCACAACACTGCATTTCCCTGCATCATTCCCAAGTTGAAAAAACACTATTCCCAGCAAGTTCTTAGTAAACATAAATCTTGAAGGTATTTGTAATGTCTTTTTTTCAGGCCTTTTTTCTGCACTGACACGTGTCAGTCACACAGCATGTCTTCTGTGTTGACATTAAGTCTTATCTGTCTTTGTCTTTTCACTTTTCATTATCTTTATTATTCATTACAGTTATCTGTGACTGTATTGACTATGAAGGGCACCTACCTTTCACAGATATATCTGAATCAGCACTTACGTTTTCTGGTATGCTCAGCCTGTTGGCATGAAAACGTTCCCAGCCTTCCATTATCTATCTGTACTGCCTAAACTTTTAGGGTTGTGGGGGAGCTGGAGTGAATCCCGGCTGACTTTGGGACGAGAAGCAGGTTACATCCTGTACAGGCCGTCAGAGTATTTTATGCAAAACCTTTATTTGACAGAATGAACAATGCAGAAATTATGATTTGTCAAGTTTATGGTTAAACTAAAATATTTTCCTTCGTCATGAGGGTTTGATAACATCATCTTTAGAAATGATTTAGGTGTAAAAATACTTATATTGGATGACATATAGCTTTAGTTTTGATACATTTCTTCCTCACTGTATATAAGAAGGTCACGGTCACAATACTTGATCCTTATTTAACCAGAGCAATGAAATAATTATGAAGTCTTTTGGTTTGATGGTGTGTGGTCGGCTGCTCTGTGAGTCGGTCTGTCCACCGCTTTGAACCAAAATTTACACGTTCAGTAGCAAATATTCACTCTGGATTGGTCCAATAGTTGATATTTCACATTCATGGTTGGTTGAAGTGATGATGTCATTGCTTTGGTACTCTTGATTTTGTATCAAGTGCCACTACCTACCACAGTAGTTCAGACCAGCAGTGTCCTATGAGGGAGGAACTACTTACAGCTATGGTAATGTCTTAGGTTGCAGAACAGTGAGAAACATGGTTGAAGGCACGTATTGTAAGTCGCTTTGGATAAAAGCGTCAGCTAAATGATGTGTAATGTATGTAATAGAGCAAAGAACAAAAAATACCACATAATACAAATGGAGAGCATTTTTCCTGAGACACCCACCTACTCTTTCAAACCACCTTTTATTTTATTCAGATTTTTAGATAGCTTCAATCATAGCCAACTGTTGTACAGCTGTTTTAACTCCTGATATAACTCCTGTTTACTCGTTCACTGAACCTGATGTGTACATTTGTCCCAATACTTCATTAGTAACTAAGTGTTAAACAAAGGTGGTGTTTTTACTGTAGCCAAACAATAATCTATGCAGTCCAGTACAACAGTATAGTATAGTTTGGTAGCTGCTTGGTTAAACTGGTTTGCAGTCTATGTGGCTCTGTTACACAAGACAGATGGATGACGTGCATATGCAGAGCCTACAATTGAATTAGAAGTCTTAGTTATTGTCATACTGTGGAATCAGATCCATATATATACAATTTTTGTCTAATTGTGACTAAAAGCTTGGTATTGGTGATACACTGTCACTCAAGTTTTATTATCCCAAATATTCATTCAGGAGAAAATCAGCAGTTCACAGGGAAACTATTTTAGCCTAACACTGGCGCTTTTAAAGCTTGGTTTGTTAATCCTGTAAAAACTAGCAAGAGCAGGCCACACCTAAAAAAAAAAAACCCAACCAATACATCCCACCCCCTCCCATCAGCCCTCTCGTCATAGCTACACTCCCCAAAAAAACAATGAATATTCACGGGCTGACAACCACTAACCTGACCTTTCCCTGACTCACTAGCTTCTGGCAATCGTCTCTACTTCGGCAGAGTATGTCTCTTCGTCTCAAGATGTTCATGTGCCACAATCGGGCAGGTCAGTTAGAGACAGACAGAATATCAAATAAAAGATACGAATGTTTCAGAAACAACCCATCCTGCCTTTAACACCAGTTTTCTTCAGTTATCTTGGCTGCATTCTTTTTGTTAATTTTGTTGGGTTTTGCTAAAAGCAGTTTGGACTTTGATCTTAGCAGCTAAACTTACCGGCCTTGAAGACACTGCTTCAGTGCTGCAGTTTTTTTGTGACCCCTGACTTTTCTGTGATGGGGCCAAACGGGAAAGAAACGTCAGAATTAGGATCAGTGAAACGATTGAGGTCTCATGGCTCCGTCTCAAACAGCAGGTGACTTTTTTTGTCCTGGATTTTTGCCAGCAGCTTCTGCAATGCATCCATGCCATTCTGTCCTCCGCCCCCCCCCCCCCCCCCCTTGCGATTGTAGGACAATTCTTTAATGTGCCTGTGCTGTTGCTAGGTGACAACGTGGTCCCTGTGAATAAGGGCACTGTTCGTGTGTGTTGAACCTGTGTTATGCCCACAGTGCTGGCACAACAGGCGGCATTTTTTAGAGGTTGTACATGACTCCTCCTCCTGCTGGGTCAGGGCCTTCACTGGAAACTGCCTGGATTTACTGTTCTGGTTTCTTTGCTTCTTAGAATCTATTCTCCTGTCAGCCTCTGTTCTGTGTGCGCGCTCTGTCCCATTCACATCTGTGATTTGTAGGTTTCTGCTGCTAATGGAATTAACTTCCTTTTTCCAGCTCCACAGTTTCACCAGAATTGGCTTTGGCTGTTAGAGCAATTCACCTCATCAACCTACTTGTAAATAACAATCACTGCCCAAGCTGAGAACATGGTTCAAAACAATCTACCACTGGTGCTGTTCATGTTTCCCTCCACTGAGGTTCACGGTTTGATTCTCCTCTCTAGACTTAAATATCATGTGTATCTCTCTGTCTCCCTCCTCCCTCTTCTGTTTTTTATATAGATCTCAGAGGCAGAAAGAAAGGACCCCAATGAGCTTGTTGGTGAGTTCACACGCACACACACACACACACACACACACACACACACACACACACACACACACTAATCAACTTTTAAAGGATAAAGTTGGCACTTATATATCCACACAATTCATTGTTCATTTAAACGAGAATCATTTTTGCATCTAGGTTTATATTCCCTTCGCCGTGTCTGTGTCCAATAACCATTATAACCCTGGCCGACATGGTCATTTATCAAAATGAACATGAGTACTGCACTTTCTTTGAGTTAATTCCATATAAACTGCAAAGTCCACAAAGCTGTTTCTAACTGGCCCCAGGTGACTTATACAAACCTCTGGCCACCAGTAGACTGACAGGTGGGTTATGAACCTCAGTGGTTAATGAGTAATGACTGACCTGTGCTGATGTGTGTGTGTCTGTGTGTGTGTGTGAGCTTCAGATCATACAGGAAATGACTGATCAAGGGAGTGGCTTTGGAAAGTAAACTGCTATGGTACCTGCAGGGAAAAAAGGCATCAACAAATATTTCAAATAATATTATATGTTTTGTTCATCCAAGTAGTCGTATCTGTTTTAATTATTGTTATATATGTATGTATATTTGTGTTATATACACCGATAAATGTGTGAAAATTCAAAAATAATTTAGGTTTCCATGATACTCACATATTTAATAATAATAAACTTCATTTATAGAGCACTTTTTAAAAACAGAGTTTACAATGTGCCTTGACAACAAAGCAAGAAAAGTAAATACGAGAGTTATAATCAGCGGGATGTGACAAGGAGGCCGGACAACCACGATCAGGTGGTCGGAAACAAGGTAGTGTTTGAATTAAATGAGTAATAATAGAGCTTTGTCCCGTGAAAACTTGAACCCATACAAGCAGTAATATGACAAGTAAAATATAAGGTGAAATGAAAACACAGTAAAAACACAACATCACATGAAAGCAAGGCTATAAAAATCGGTTTTAAGAAGTGATTTGTCCACTATGATAACGGGATAATTGCATATTGTGTCTGAAAAACTCTTTGATTTCAACTTAATCGACCCTGTTTAAAAAAACTGTTCTAATCCTCAGATGGAAATAGTCCTCAGTAAATGCACTAATGACCTTTGTTTTAGTAAGATTTTCAAAAAAAACTGCAGCACTTGGCTGTTTTGAACAAAGCTTTTCTTAAAATGGATCTGTGATAAACATAAACCGTATCTTTTTGACCCACCCTTACTGGCAAACAATGGGCTTGAGGCTGTGTTAAAGACGGGGTGGTCACAGAGTAAAGGATCTTTTTTGACAATGATAAAACATATTCACGTATAATAAAACACATTTATAGTTGGATAGAATATAAGAGTCAGGCTTTGACTCATCGTTGTGTCGGCTGGGTGTTGGTGCAGTGACTGTGTGAATCACTAACTGGCCCCAGGTGACTTATACAAACCTCTGGCCACCAGTAGACTGACAGGTGGGTTATGAACCTCAGTGGTTAATGAGTAATGACTGACCTGTGCTGGTGTGTGAGCATCAGATCATACAGGAAATGACTGATCCAGGGAGTGGCGTTGGAAAGTAAAATTTTCACGCTGTCTGTTGTTTGTTTATTTGGGCCTGTAGCTGTATGCTGATTATACACCACAGCACTCATCCTCATTACCTCCACCACAGAGGTTATGTTTTCACCCGTTTCTTTGTAAGCAAGATTATGCACAGACTATTGGACAGATTACCATGAAACTTGGTGGAAGAACGTGGTATAGGTTAGAAAGGAACCCATTCCATTTTGTTGTGGATCCAGATCCCGAGGTGGTTCCAGGATGTTTCTATCACATTGTTAGATAGGGCACGTTTGAGGGTTAGGGTTTAATTCCTTAGAGATGTATTTTGCATAGAAAAATGAATTCATCATATTTACTTTATCAGTAAGAGAGCTTGACGGATCATGTCCACAGATTAGCTCCCGCTCACCATCACCACAAGTGCACTACAGTAGCAGAGTGTGACTCATACTCGGGGACACTTGACATTCCTGCAGCGGAGCTTGTCTCCTCTGTGTTGTCTGTCAGTAAATGTCACAGTGCGTCTGGCAAAAGGCCTCCTGTCAGTGGGCTGAAGACCCCTCTTTGTCCGTTTACTGAAGGGACGGACTGTCTGTCCAGAAAGATCCCCAGGGCACAGATTGTGGCTTTCTGTCTGTTTTTCAGGAAGTCAGATGGTAATTTTGATGCCGAATATAATCTTTTCTCTGTCTGTTTTTCCCATGTTCCCCCCAACCGTGCTGGTAGTATATGAGAATATTCCTTGCACATCAAGCTGGATGACAAACAGGGATATTTATTACACATACAGTGATGTATTCAGTGTCACTGTGGAGGCTACAGACTTTGTTTTGGAGTTTAAATTAGAGTTTCTCCAACAAGGCCACAAACATATCAAGTAATCCTCCTGTTGTGTGGGGCAGATTAGTAGGCTTCCACAATCCTAAACCGTGCTTGTGTGCACCCATGTGAGAGTTAACTGAAATACCCAGCTACCACCGAATGCATGTGACTCATCAGACTTGTCTTGTCAGGATTTTTGATTCTTGCCGCCGCTACAATATTTCCTGTGAACCGTACAATTAGTTACATGACCATTTGTTGTTCATGTAATTATAGAGCTGCTTACGTTTTTTCTGTTAAGAAATGGTACGAGCCAGGATACATAACTACCTTAACATATGTGTTCGATCGATTTATCCGTTGGCCAATTCAAAGAAGCTTTTCAAAGACATCAGTCTGGGCATTTATGTTTGCAGATATGTGGTGATATGAAAGCTTTTATTTTACAGAATAAACAATGGACAAAAGATGCACATTTATGTTAATATATTACACAGAAAATTGTTTATTTTCTTAATTGTTCTGTCTTTGGTTGTATTTGTGTTTTCCCCTTAAATATAGTTATTCATAATAAAATGTATGGTTAACAAACAGTAAAATATAAAACGTCAATTACATTTATTTGTCATAAGGGTTTGATAACGACACCTTCAGTATCAGATGTTTATTTTGATATAAATAGTGGCCCATATATCAGCATTTGCCTCAAAAAAATCTATATTTCTGTTATGTCTTGCGTCTCCGTTGCCCAGTGAGGGGGTAAATCATAACTTTATCAGCTAGGGGGCACCACTGAGTGGAGGTGCTGCTCCTCTGACTTTCCAGACAGATCAGACTGGCAAGTCTGAATCTACACATGTGAATCTGTGGTCCCTCTATGGTCCCACATGATCAGCAGGTCAAGTACAACAGCAAACATACTGAAGGGAGGAAAGGCTGCAAAGGGCTTGTCAGTATATAGCAGCATCCTGTCGACGCACACACACACACACACACACACACACACACACACACACACACACACACACACGCACTTTAAAGTTCAGCTCTGGCACTGTCCCACATGCAGGGGGTTAGTTCACTGTGGATCAGTGACATTTATGTCAACGGAAATAGTTTAGCCTGAGCAGATGAACCACAAGCCGTACAACCTCTCCTTCTCTGCAAAGTTTTTTCCTCCATTTAATAATAAACTGAACTGAAAGCAATTTCTAGTGACTGATCAAAAAATTACATCAACAAGATTACAGATCTGACCAGACATTTAATGCAAACGTTGACACAGCATAGACGTGGACCTGTGTAATGGCAAAAATGTGGTCCTCACAGCTATATAAGCAATGAGTTTAGAAACCATTACATGTATGATATTTACATTAAGATGATTTTGAGATGTAATATATTTAAATGTAGATCTACATTTCTGTAAATAATTTAGGAATCTGTTACTATCAGATGATGTTAAAGTGTTTTCTGGAAAATCAAGGTTGAAAACATTTCTAGTTGCTCATGTTAAGATTATTGTGCAGTTAAAATGTTTGAGTTTTTCATTGCTCTTTTGAAACCATTTGAAGAATCCTGAAGTAAAAATGTACATTAAGTGTTGAGCTTGAGCACAGTTTTAAAATTTTCAATAAAATAAAAACTCAGCACTGGTCAGGCCATAACGCTGAGGTTTAATACCCATCTTCAGTTATGGGTTTATTGAAATTCGTTCTGAGGAATAGTGAAAATCATCATAACATCAAGTGAAAGAAGTCGACACGGTTGAAAGAGTTTCCAAGAATATTACTGTGGAATTTTCCTCTTTAATGTTTTAAGAGAAGAAGTGTTCAACAGAACATAATGTGCACCAGTCCAATCAAGTTTTTACTTGTAGACGATCTGCACTGACTGTTGACAGGCTCAAGCTCCTGATTCGTGCATTTTCACACAGCAAACAGCTTGCAGTGTTTATGACTGACAGCGCTGAATGACTCTAAGGACTATCTGTCTGATTGGGATGTAGAGTGACACTGAAGAATTCCTGGCCTGAAGTCAGGGAAAGCAGAGAGCCAAGTCAAGCTAGGAGAGCAAAACAAGGAAGGGAGGGAGGGGGGGGAGAGGAGCCTCCCTTCTCCTCACAAGCCCCAACAACAGCCACTCCCTGCCCTGCCCGAAACATGCACTCCTCATACCACTCTGCCCTATAAAACCCACCGGCACACAGACTCAGGGGCCATGATGAACAACAGAGTGCTCAGGAATTCACCCACAATGTTTCCTTAACACACAGGGAACATTTCTTTAATTAACCAAGCTTGTCTCCAATGCATACCCATATCCCACCTTTCCTCTGATATGTCATGTGATAATCCAAACCCTGTTTCACCGTCTTTGACAACAGCGGCTTCTTACTGAAACCTTAGTCTGCAGGTACAGACACACAGGTATAGACTGAAGTAAGAATCATACAAAGGGGACTCATGTTTATGTTTTTGTCTTCCTGCCAGCTCTTTTCTCAGAGAAGGTGAGGAACATGTCACCAGATGAGATCAGGATCCCCCCTGAGCCCCCCGGACGCTGCTCGAGCCAACTCCAGGTAGACAATCCTCCATTGTCACGTGATTATTCAACCAAATGACTTCAAAGTTTTACTCTCAGTGCTCATCTACTGCTGCTGTCATATTGTGTATACAGTTGGGATGTATCTACAATTACATCTGGTAATCTGAGCAGTGAGGAGGGTTTGTGGACGGACGTAGCTTGGGTTGTGTCCAAGGCTACATGCACACTACTACATTTTCAAACTAAAATGATTTCTGTCCCCATAACGGGTTTAATCCCCGTCCATACTAACGTTTCTAAAAATGCATATCCATGCTATTCGCAAAGACATCGGGGTCAGCAGTGCTTGTAATTACAATAATCAGCACATCTTTGACTAGTTTTAAACTTGGATAAACTCTTTCCAGTAAGTAAATTCATCCCACCAGAAGATAAAGACTTGTCCTTGTCTCCCTAAAGGAGCATATAGGTTTCATAACCAGACGTACAGTCAGAACCAGCCCCTTTTGGCACACACACAACGTTCGAGAGCTTCGGGTTCAAGGTCAAAAGTTAAAAATGCAAGTTTCAGGCCTCACTCAAAGACGAGTTAACATGGTGGCAGTGCAGTCAAAATAACCTGTTCCGCCACGCCGAGTGATTATTGAAGAAGTTTCACTTGTTCCCTCTGGGCTTCAAAAATACATTCCAGTGGCGGCGTAAATCCTCAGACTCGCCCCTGTAATTAAAACAGCACACAGTGTCATCTTCTCTCAGTTTACTTTCACAAGCATCTCTCTCTCTCTCTCTCTCTCTCTCTCTCTCTCTCTCTCTCTCTCTCTCTCTCTTTCCCTCTGCCCTGTTGCTGTTCATTTGGTGCGGTTTACTGCAACCATGTTTGTTCTGAGAGGAGCTGAGGCAGGTCGGGGCACACAGCTGACTAAGTGAATAGCTCAGCAGTTTCCCTTCTGGGCTCACACCCCTACCGCCTCCACCTACCCCACCTTTAAGTTGATCAACTAATGATTCACCTCACCAGAACTGCCTGGATATCCCTGCCCTTGGGTGATGTATGGGCAGGAGCATGTGTGCGCTTAGGAGGCAATTTGACAAAATGTTTATTGTTTCACTGCATTTTTGTGAACGAGTAGCTTTTGCAATCAGAAGCCATAGCCTCAGGATTAGAATATGCCCCTAGACTATTCCTTCAACTGCATTTGAGAACGAGAACAAGGACTTCAAGAAAACAGGATTTTTATTAGAGCCCAACCTATAAATCTATTTAATCTGTAGGTAGGAGCCTTTCAGAAGGCATATCAGTGTTGCCTTTTATGTCCACAATGCAATCTTTTACAGATTAAACCAAGCAGAAAGATGTGCATTAAGCGTAAAAAAAAAAACTCAGCATGATTGGGTCTGGAGTTTCTCTAGAGTTTGCCTTTCACATATGAACAATGTAGCGGGAGATTCTTCGCTCAGATGAGTTCACAACAACACAGACATTAAATTCCACTGCAGGGATCGCATGTTTTTGTTTACATCGACACTGGCGTCAGCTTTTATCACCAAAAACCCTTGTCTGTGTCCTCTACGCCACTTTTTCATCCAGAGACATTGGTTGTTTTTTTGCGTCTGCCTTGTGTTAGACACGTCATTAACACGCCCACTCACTCGCTGGGTGAAGGGATTATCCAGAGTTCAGTGCAGTTTTCACCTCAGACATCACTTTAAAATAAAGTCCTTTTGAGAGCAGCGTTTCCTTCCCCTATCTTCATCCAGGCCTCATTTATCACTACCCTGGTTACATCTGCAAACTCCCTGTGGCCTCATTGAACCTGGTTGTTAAATGTTTCCTCAAGGGTTTCACAAACCTTTTGTGCAATGGTCCTTTTCACACTCAAGTCTCACCGATCATATACAGTGTGTGTATAGGTTTTGTTTATGTTATGGCACTGACAGCATGTCCTGCCAAATGTGGAGGAAGCTGAGTCATTGCGGAGGTGTTGGTCTTCCCACGCTGATGTTTGACCTGCTGACGGTTCATGGCCTCCATCGATATGTTATGTGTCGAAACAGGAGAAGATCCACAAGCTGTACGAGAGGAAGCTCCATGGAGATTTTGACACAAACAGCCACATCCAGAAAAAGAAAGAATTCAGAAACCCAAGGTATGCTTCTCAGTCTCAGGTCACACCCAAGCCAACAAACTCTCACACACACAAACACACTGAGCGCTATTTACACATGATACCAGATGTGCTTAAACAAGCATATTTATTTTCTCTACCCACAAATGAAAATAAGCAACAAGTGTTTTCAAGTGTCTTATCAGGTTTTATTCTCTTCTTATCTGTTTTCAGTATTTACGAGAAGCTCATTCAGTTCTGCAGCATAGATGAACTGGGAACCAACTACCCTAAAGATATGTTCGATCCACATGGCTGGTCAGAAGACTCTTATTACGAAGGTCTAGGTAAAACAGTGTTACATTAGTCCACACAGTTGTCTCTGATCCCAGCTTTACACCCATACACACACAAGCCTTTTTTTTTTCCTTTCAGCTAAAGCCCAGAAAGTGGAGATGGACAAACTGGAGAAAGCCAAGAAGGAGCGGACCAAGGTGAGACGAGCAACGAAGTCTGCTGACGCTTGTCTTTTTTCCTGCATCAGGGGGGCAAGTCTCCACCAGCTGCGCTTATTTTGTGCTTTGCGTACTTCATCAGAAACACGCAGGAATCAGTGCTGCCAAGCTCTGCTCTATGTGTCAGCAGGGCGAGCCCAGTGAAGGTTTACAGCTCAGCCATGCCCCTTCGTGTTGAATCTTTCGTTGACAGCTCTCTGCTTTTGCCATTTTCCATTTGAAATAGTCAATCCAAGGTAAATATCATGTGAGTTCTGGGGCTGAGAGCTGATAGGTGTCTGCTTTAAAAACTTGCACAAACAGTCATGAGCAGCATTGTTGCAGCAGCCGTAGAAAGAAAGTGGACTTGAAAGAACATGTACCCAACAGGAGCTGTTCTCTGATTCTCCACTGTGAAATGCAGTCAGTGGTATGCACGCTACAGTAATTTAGTAAGATGTGAGAATGAAACCTGACAGTTATTTTCTTCCACTCACTTGTCAGATTCTGCCGACGTGCCCTTTCGGTGGAGCTCCTCAGCATTCTGTCGCAGTTGTAGGTTAAAAACTGTGACACATCAAAGAGCAGCAGGAGGTGATTTGTGTATATACAGTAAGTGTCTAATGTTCTGTGTGTTTGATAGATTGAGTTTGTCACGGGGACTAAAAAGGGCACCAACCCCTCCAGCACGGCGGCGTCCACCACCAGCAACACCACCACCTCCACAGCCACAGGTAAACATGCACCACTGCAGCACCTGTCAGACGTCATCATTGTACTGTACATGTCAGTTTATACATGTTTAGATTAGCCCCTCAGTGTCGGCTGACTAACCCCTTGGCATAGTTGGATTCAAATCTTTCTGTATAACAATAAAATATTCATGAATTATTAATTTTGATAATATATGTATTTATGTTTAGATTTTACACAAGCCCCCAAAAACCCTTATTGGTCTTGCTCTAGTTACGTTATTACTCGACTTGAGCTCCAATGATCGTGTTGAATCTATAAATTGTTTGCTGAGTTTATTTTTTAAAGTATATCAAGTCTAGTATTGTTTATAGGCATGTCCACTCGCTAACAGGATTCCTCTTCCCTTTCTTTTGGCACATTGCTTCTTGGTACCACCTGTAGATCAGTGGAATCTCCCACATCAATTGCATGCATGTGTAGACAAGACAAACCTAAAAACATCCCGACTAGTTGTCAAAAAACTCCACAGTGCCACTCAAGTAAAGCCAGGAGGCCTTTCCTGCTGATCTCTCTTTCACCGAGTCTCCTCTCATCAACAGACGCCCAGAAGAGAAAAAGCAAGTGGGACTCTGCGATCCCTGTGACCCTGGCCCAGCCCACCCTCATCAGCACCACCACCGCGACCCTGCCTGCCGTCGTCTCCGTGACAACCACTGCTAGCGGCACCAAAACCACCGTCATCTCTGCCGTGGGCACCATCCTAAAGAAAGCAAAGCAGTGAACGACGAGTGGGCAGTCTGTCTGCATGAGTGACTTGAAGCTGGAAGACGTACGTTATCCTTCGCTCATTATATATATATGTGGAAAAGATGCAGAGCGAAGGCAAACGGACTGATGGACACTTAGTATAGCTTTTTTTTTTTTTAGAACAAACCCACAAACACCCTCTGCTACACACGGACAAAGACTTAACTGCCTTCTATCTCTGGGAATTTATCTGCACTATTGTATCATACAGCCAAATTCACCGTTTGGTGAGAAAACTCAAAGACCCACTGAATATAAGAAAGTGATGCAGGCAGATCTAATGCTGGTGAAACATGTGTGGTTCTTTTTTTGATTTGTCGGCAACAGTTGTTTGTCTGAATGTGACGGTGACGAAAAAGGGTTCCAAACAGACGAGTTAGAAATATCTGAACTGTTTTTTTATTTTTATATCCATGATTCTGGTGCAGTATTTTAATGCCACCTTCAGCAGTTAGCTCAACATGTGCATCGTTTTTTGTTTTTCATCATCAGCATATTTTGGCTCTGTAAGATTTTTTACCCTTGTACATATGTGTTGATGATAAGGTGAATAAATGGATCAGATGTTGCCTTTTCATATTGTCTTATTTTATTCTTATTTTTTATTGGATCAGATACAGGTCGGGGGGGTTATCTATTAAAATTGACCTTCCCTCTTGTTTACTGTTACAAGCTGCAGATCATTCTTCAGAACCTTTCACACTGCAGCATAGTAACGCTGGGCGCAGTCTTTTAACTAAACACTGAAAATATGCAAAGATGAACTCTGTTATCTAAATGCTCTCTGTTTGTCTTAACCTTATCCTGAATTCCCAGTGATTTCAATGTCATGAAAGTTGCACAATCGCCTGCAATTAAAGATTTCCACTCAATACACTTTCAAAATCTGGTTTAGCTGGATGACTTTAACACAACAATGTTTCAGCCAATTATGAAAGTAATTCAAGATCTTTGAATCATGAATTTAAACGATCCTAAACGCCATATGGTAACTATACTTATCCTCTTTCTTCAAGCAATTTTGAATAAAATGTCTCTACTGTTGAGGGATGAAAACACAACGTGCAGTGGCCTTAGATAACTGCCACTACTGTTGTAGTACGTAACAACTACTGTTAGCCAACACTGCAATCTCACAGGATGTTACTCCCACAGTCATTTTCACAGTTGCACTCCATAACCAAGCAGCGAAGCATGAGCGACTACAAGTAACCCAAAGAAGATAAGCAGACAAACACTCTAATTCCAACTTGTTAAGATCAGTGGTGCACCTTGGCAATGCCTAGGCACGAATGTGGGGGGTGGAGCTTCTGTAGGAGCATTTTTTTTTTGCAAATATCTCGTAGAATCAGTCACCATGTCATCATCTGTAAGATGTGACTTGAATACCTGACTGAAGAAAATGTAGCTTCAAACAGTAGGTCTGATTAAAACCCTGTCTTCATTCAGAGGATGATAAAGGTGTGTCACCTGGGTGTGAAGCTGACTCCTGCACAGTCACTGACGCTACAGTACAGACTGAGGTTGAAACCTGAGTCATTCAGTTGAATTGTACCCACATTTGGAAACAAGCCACTACAGTCATGCATTTTTGGTACATTCGATGAACGCATGTCCGTTTTCTTTTTGTTGCGCTGCATGTTACGGCAGAGCCTGGAATTGAGTTAAGGCACAGTTCCTTCCTGTCTGACATGTTGCTCCTCAGGGACGGGGGTGGTTATACTCGGTTCCACACGTTGCAGAAAAAAAGAATCGCTCTTGCAGCTTGAGTGACTGAAGATAGAGATGACTACATGAGCCACAGTGTTTAGACGAGTGTTAGGCTCCCTTAATTCGCTGGATACCTCCAGCAAGGCCCGACTCAGGCACTCATGGTAATCAGTCCTCTAAATATACAAGATTCTTTTCATCAAGATCCATAAATTATTCTGAGGGAAATCCGTCAAAACGTCAAGAAACTGTCCAACACCAATAATCTGAACATCAACCTTAACCTTCATAAAACAATTGTTATTAAAATTGATGTGATTAGTAAAACATGTGAGTATTTTTGGAAGATTTATTTGATGTGACTAGTAACACATGTGAGTATTAAT